CAATCACTCTGTCAAGAAAAGAATTCAAGTTCATTTGGAATGTCTTGTTCTTGAGAAATGCATACTAACTACCAAATTGACTGTTTAACAATCTGTCCCTAAATTTTGCTTGATATTAAAACCAAACTACTTAATTGGCGGTAATTCAATTGCACAGAAACAACTCTTCTCCTCTCCTGTGATGACCCATAGTCTCTCAATATAATCCAAAACCCAAAACATACATTAAAGTCCGGTAATACCTTCAACTTAACTTCACTGTTTTAATTAGGCACAGTTTAAAGTCACAAAAGTAAATAATGAGGCAAAGGGAAACCAAAACAAACCGCATTGATGAGAGTTCCGAAGCAAGCCAAGATAAATTAATCATACATTCCAGGAAGATAACGGGGAGAGTCCATGGGAAGAACGCCAACAAAGAGAAACCTCTTTCAAAGGAAACACTAAACTTTGACTCCAGCAATTCTGACTACACAGTTACAAACTTAGATACATAGCTCCCAGCTGCAAGCCACGAGGAGGATCATGGTAATCTGCTCTTGAGTAGACCTCGCTTTTCCATGATCTTCTCCTCTTTGCATGCCCTAGGATAGATAGGGGATGGGCCTGGATCCTGATTACTCAGCCGGCCTCTGCCCTTCCTCAGCCTCCTCCACCACCTCTGGAGCCACACTCCCACTCCCTGTTAGCTGTTCCTCCTCTTCCTCAGAGTCAGTCTCCACCAGGGGCATGACTTCTCCTCTGACATTACATCAATCTCATGATTCTTCAAAGATCAGAGAAAGGATTTCCAAGAAGACGTTTGAAGGCTTCCTCAAGTCTCTCAATTATAATTAATTTAGTTTTGAAGACAAACTCATTCATGCAAGCTGCAATTGGTGCTCCCTAACTATTTATTTACCTTGAATTGCCAATCCCTCTTTTGGCAATTGTTTTGCTTAAGTTAATTTAAGCAAAAGTTGGTTTGAGCAAAGTTCCTTTTTGGGAAGAAAAGGCAATGAAGGAAATAAAGAATTCTACTTTCTGCCAATTTCCTATTATTATTCTATCATGTACTCTTAGCAGGACAGCAGCCTTTCCTTTTTTATTATTTTACTCTGATGCAGTTAAAAAAAAATCATATTTATATTTTTAGCTTTCCTTGAAAACCTGTATTTCCTTTTGGGCTTTAGGATTTTTCCCCTTCATTATAAGCTATTTGGTGGTATATGTCTTTGTGATTTATACAAGTTCCTTTTAACTCTTCGTTAAGTTAAAAATTCCCTCTGCACACACAATTTCCTATTCTTGGAATGTGTACCATGTATTTCCAGTATCATTTTTGAGAAGTGGCCAATCCTCCTGTGTTCTCGTTTATCTGAGATTATTATGGAACCTCACTTAGTATTTCTCAAAGCTTGATGAAATTGACTCTCCTTGAAACTAATGTGCACATGCTCAAATTTCTTTTAAATGGCTACCGGCTCCTAGACATATTGAAATGCTAAACACATGCCTGTTTATAATGACAAATACAATTTGTGATGCAGAGCTGAAAACCTTCTTTGTCATTTGGGGTGTGGTCCAACATGAAGTAAAACTGACTTATTTAAGATATACAAGCTGCAACAGATATTTCATTATCAGTAAGAAGTAGAACCCATTGAACTTAGCAGCCCTTTTAGTAAACAATTATAAGATCACGCTACAAGGTTCACGCTAGGATGGGTTCACTTTCTGTTTTAATCAAAGGTGAGAAAATTCAGACAGTGGCTTCCTACCTCTTCATAAAACAAGTCATTTGTGAGAAATCAACCTTAAATGAGACAACAAGTGTTACCTTGTCAGAAAAGAAGTGTTTGAAAGTTGACAGTGTGATAGAAGTCACCGGGTATGAATCAGACTCCAAATAATTACCTTTTCTGAAATGTATTGCATTTTCACTGAAATCCAAAAGCAGTTTATGCTGGACAGTATGTTAACAGAAAAAGGCGATATAAAGCCTTTTGTCTTAGAGTTCTACCACCCCATCCCTGGCCATTAGCTTCCAAAGTCCCTAAAATAGTTTTTTTTTACTTTAATAGAAGAAATATTGGTTTATTATATTAATTTTTAAAAATTCATATTTGTCATTTCAGTAACAGTGATAGGATGGATAATAATAATCTCAAATCTATTTAGATTATATTTAAATACCACTCAACCTGTACCTGTACATGGGTGTACATGGGTGAATTGGTGTTTCCTTTTAGGCATCTAGAGCCATGACAGCTTAAAAGAAAAAGCAAAACCTGAAGAGTTTAAAACTGCTGCAATATAGAAAAACCAAGCTGCAATTACATGACATTTGAAATTATTTATAGTGGATTTAACAGCAAACAGCACTTTATGAGATGCTCTTATTGGCAGGCTGCTGAAAGTGTTCAGTGTCTGATTTAGTTTTGCTCTGCGGGGTGGGGGGAGGGAAATGAAACAGAAGTGAAGTGACAACAGACTTTTTAGACGTCACACCAAGGCCTAAAGTACAATGCTAATGTTGGTGTGATGTTGCAAGGTTTAAAAAAATACCATAATAGCAAAAATTGGGATAGTGTACTTGAACCATTTCCAAATTTAAAAAAATTACAACTACAAAGTGCACTGTGCCATGAAAGTAAAAAGATATTAATAATCATTAAAGCCCTGGATTTCATTTTTAGAAGAACATAAAGAGACAATTCAATTTAAACATTTTATATACAATATAGAATAATAATAAAACATGCCATACTGCATTGTTAATAGGCCAATACTTTTTCAGACTCCACTGCAAAGTGCAATTTAAGGTTAGTCATTCAATCCATTCCATTGTGAATTGAAGATATTAGTTCATGCCTGATATAATAACCACTCTATACATACAATATACTCTTAGTAAAAACCTATGAGATAGGATGGGTTGATTCATTACCTCAACATGGAGAAATTAACCGTGAAAATGGGAAGATGATGGAGCTTAAGTGACTCCTCTCCAAATGCTTTTCTTCCTTACTTTCTTCTTCATATTGAAAGGTTTTTTTTTAATAAAATACCAAAACTTGTATGATAAATTTATCATGTGCTGCTGGTAATTGAGTGGTGAATATAAAAGCAACACCCAGGTGAAGATAGACAGTACTCACCTGTTCATTATTTAGATGACTTTCAAAGTTGTTCTGTGGCCTTTGGCAGGAAAAGGGATATTTATATTTCATTGTGTTTTTAATGTTGGGAATTGCTTTGAACCTCTGTTAAAATTATTATTGTTTCTTAATAATGCATAATGAGGAACAAAACAAGGTAGTCTCTACAATTTTTAAAATATACAATAATCAGGTCCAATTGTGAAAATCAGACTTCAGAGAAATAAGTAAGATTTGTTTACTTTCTCTCTACCAGCAATACCAGCAATATTTTTTATCATATTTGGAAGTAAAAAATAAATGAACACAATATCAAGTAAATTCTATTGCAGCATTGTAGTCAAGAAATGGAAGCAAGCCAGTATTGCAAATTTTAGACATTTGATATTCCATATTATTATGACAGAAACCATTTCATAGGAATAATTCATAGGTACATTAGACAATGTGTATTAGGATTAGTGTCCGTTTTCTCAAGCTTGGAAATATTTTATTCAGTTTGTTAAAAGTTCAAATTGAATTAAGAGACCTTTGTCAATAACAATGATGAGGATTTTGCAGGCAAAGAAAAATGATTATTTTGAAATGAAGAGATTTTGGCTATGATATTTTATTTCTAAGTTAATTGTGTGATGTTTCTGAATACAATGCATCTATTCTAATCTATTAACTGTTAATGGTCTGATTTTATATATGGATTATATATAATAACACAAATAATACTATTTTAGTAGCTTAGCTTAATATTTTGGTATTATTTATTTGGAGATCCAATATGGTGTAGTGATTAAAGCATTAGGCTATTAACCAGGAGACTGAGTTCTAGTCCCACTTGGGCACAAAGTTAGCTGGATGACCTTGGACCAATTACTCTCACTCAGCCCTAAAAAGGAGGCAATGGCAAACCACTTTCAAAAAACCTTGCCATGAAAACTGCAGAGACTAGTCTACTCAGCTGCCAGAAGAAAAAATCAAAAGCCAAAAATGTTATGAGATATATAACCAGACAGCAAATGAGATTCTTCTGTGAAGTCAACATACTTGTTGTCAACCTGGGGGATGTGTTTGTAGGAACTAACCTCATCACTGGACAATCTACATGAATATTAAAAAAGCAAAATCCACTGCTATTGGCAGCTGTTCCTATTTTTGCAAAATAATAAACACCTTTCATTAGAAGTAGAACAGCAGTTAGGAAATTTGTAGAAAATCCTTTGCTACAAATTAATCTTTCATCTTAAAATAACTTTCAATATGCCAACTGCTCAGAAAATACCAGGTTTTCACAGTACAGCTGCCTTGCCAAGTTTATGCAGAAGGTAAACACTGTCTTTGTATACCAAAAGTTTTTGAATGAACAGACAATGGAAGAAAGAGATAATTTTCCATACTGCCATTAATTTTATTGAGTCAAGTGGGCAACCTCTATTTTTTTTTTAATAAAAGTTCCTTCCACCAATCATGAAATATGTTCCTGCAATTCTTCAGAATATAAGGAAGCTAAATGTGGCCTTTGACTCCTTTGAACTTAACTTCTGATTTAAATGGATGATGCTTCATTATTAAAAGGACTGCTTTATAATTGTTGAATGGACCCATTGGTAGGTTTAGGCATTTATTGCTTTAGCAATGTGGAACCTTCTCTCCCATGAAGTGTTTTACTCATTGTTACTAAGTATTTTCTTTTTGACATTATAATGATATGGATGTTTAAATCTGCTTCAATTTCATAAGGATATTGGTCTTTATTTTTAAGCTTCAATTTTAAGTCCTGCCTTGAAAAGAGATAAATGAGTTATTATAAAATGCACTTATCATTAAACGTATTTTATTTGCCTTAGTTACTAAGAGCTGCAGTACCTCATTAATAGCAAGTTGTTCTCCTCCACCACCTGGGTGGCCATAACGATGACTTGAACTACGGAAATCTTCATATAAATCCTCTTCACTCCCAATGTCATCACTGGTTTTCTCTAGTGATCCATCAGCAATTACTAAAATGACAAATACAAACATATATATAGACATATTTGTTTAAGAATGTTGGCTAAATCAGGATGGAAGTACTGTGATTAATGCATTGAAGTCATGAATAAAAACTATAAATAATCAGTCTATACATTTCTAAAGTTTAATTAAAAAAACAAACAGAGCTATAATTTTAGGGCTATGAAGTGCTTTAGATTTGAGGGCAAAAATGTTTCAAAGCATGTTCTCTATCACAGCAAAAACTCAGGAAAAGACACCTTTATTTTAAGGAGTTGCAGAATGATGTGATATATGGAACCCCACACTCTGAACATCTTTTTGCATTGAATCTAGCATGTTTCCCTATCGATAATTTATAAACAGATATAATAGAACTATTTCACAGAGGTCTGGTGAGGAAAACGCATTAGCTAGTACTCCTTTGAAAAAGGATAAAATTTTGGAATCTATTATACATGCATCTTCTTATAATAAATTAATTTCTTCTAAGGGTACTTTCTGCTTCAGCAGCATTTCACCCCAATCCCACATATAACAGCTTGAAACCAGACATAATTATATTCGCATCTGCCAATCTCAAAATGCAGAGAATTACAACATACTGAACAATCAGTGATAATCTCTCCCCACCGCCCACTGACCAATGATAGAATATAAAGATCTATTTCTGACTGGAAAACAAATCCTATTATAAAATAAACTGCAACTCAACTTCTCCTTTCTCTATGTTTAAGCATATGTGTCAGTGTGCAATCAGGTGATTTGTAAAAAAAAAAGTGAAGTAGTTATTATGATTGAAAGCTACATGGAGAATGGTCAGTGTCAGCTCAATGCAACAAAAAACACTGTGATTCTTTGCTGTTAGTTCTCAACCACCCCATGGCCAAAAAAAGTAATAAAGTGGAAATACAAGTTCATAAGCAATTTAAAACCAGGTTTTCCCCAATAATTGAGACCAGCACCATATTTTTCTAGGCAGCTGAATGATGGTGATAGGAGACAACTAGGTTTTAAACCATCTATTGAAGTTACAAATTCAGTAGGATGCTAATCTCTTGGACATTCTCTTGAATCTTGGAGCCAAAAGTAGAATGAGACAGAAGTTCCTTCCAATTAGAATGTGTACATGTAGTCACAGAAATTAAAAGAAAAAGATAAACTTTTCTGTTATTTTAATACACCGAACAGAATAAGAAAACAAATCATTCTTTAAAATAGTTGACATTGTGAGTGTTATCGAGTGCAGAGAAGAGTCCAAAGTGGTGCAAAGCATTAGCACAGAGTACCCAAAGATCCTAGTCTATTAGCTGGCCTTAAAAGAATTGAAATCAGTTAAAGACAAGGACCACAAAGATAGTAATGGCCCCTGATCTTAAAGGACTGTTATTTGGATTATTAAAATGTTACAGCTGAAAAAGAGTGAGAAACAGTTGTTCAGCCTTGCCCTATCTTAAAAGAATGCATACAGGTAGTCTTCGACATACGACCACAACTGAGCCCAAAATTTATGTTGCTAAGTGAGACATTTGTTAAGTGAGTTTTTCCCCATTTTACAATCTTTCTTGCCACAGTTGTTAAGTGAATTATTGCAATGTTAAGTTAGTAACACAGTTAAGTGAATCTGGCTTTCCCATTGATTTTGCTTGTAAGAAGGTTGAAAAAGGTGATCACATAACTCTGGGACACTGCAACCATCATAAATATGAACCAGCTGCCAAGCATCCAAACTTTGATCATGTGACCATGGAGATGCTGTAACGGTCATGTGAAAAATGGTCATAAGTTCCCTTTTTTCAGTGCTGTTGTAACTTTGAACAGCCACTAAATAAACTGTTGTAAGTCAGGGAAAATGTGTATGGAGACCACAAGTTTCCTTTCTTTTTCAGTTCTTGCCTCAGAGAAAACTTTTGCTGCATACCAACCATCCCAATTCAGTCACAGAAGCACCACAGAGTACTGAGAAATACATCCATTTGATATAGTAGGAAAGACGCTTCTAGTTAATATAGGCAACCAATGAACCTGAAAAAGTAGTAGTATAACTAGGAAAAGGGCACCTTCGTAGTTTCTGTTATAGGAAGAAACAAATATTTCCTGCTTAGGCATTGAACTCCCACCCCACCCCTACCCCACATCTACACTTCTTGATTCCGGGAATCCTTTCAGGTCTAGATATCTCATTCTTCTGTTTGTCTTAGCTCCTTCCATTTATTTACAACAACTCGGGCTTTCCAATGTTTTAAACACCAACCACAGTGATATACAAAGCAATATCCAAATAAAAATTGTAGCATGACAATAATGCTAAGAGGGATCAGAAATTGTGTGCAAAAGAGTAAGTAGAAACATCAGAAGCTTTGTGCAAAGATCAAGGGCACAATGGAAATCACAATTGTTGGTCTGTGGTGATAGATTGGAAAAGGTTAATCTCAATAGATCAATCTTTCAAGGAGACTCCCTATCATGACTGCTGTTCATCATTGCATTGATTCCCCAATAATAATATTGAAGAAGTCAAGCCAGGGCTATCAAACATGAAAAACATCTGCCAGGCTATCCCACTTCCTTTACATGGATGATCTGAAGCTGGATGGAAAAACACCATCTGAAATAGAATCACTGCTCAATACAGTCAATATACACAATCCAGATATTGAAACGGAATTTGGACTGGACAAATGTTCCACCCTTACCATCAACAAGGGGAAAATAGTGAAAACTAAAGGAATCAAGATGCCCTATGCAAATAACATCAAGGGCCTGGATGAAGATCACTACAAATACTCGGGCATTCTTCAAGTTTACAACATCAAGCTCATTGAAGTCAACAAGAAGATTAGAAGTGAATACATCATGTGAAAATGATCTTAAGAGTCTAAATCCATTGGTGGAAATAAAATCAATACAATTAACATATGTGCATTCTAGTCGTTAGATATATAGTTGGAATAATGGACTATACTCAAGCAGAATTAAAAGCCCTGGATATGAAAGCTAGAAAAATAATGACAATGAATCATGCCCTTCATCCACAAAGCAACACTGGTGTACTCTATTTACCAAGGAACATAAGCAGGCATTGAATGTTGCAAGTACACCAGACAGTGAAGGAAGAAAAGAAAAAAAGGCATTGGAAGAATATCTGAAGGACAGTGAAGAAGATGCACTAGTATATCATGAAGGCTTGCTTAATAATGCTGGGTTGAAACTGGCCTACGAGAAAGATCAAATGAAGAATAGAAAAGAGGAATGGCAAGGCAGAATTACATGGCCAGTACACACACACACACACACACAGAGAGAGAGAGAGTGTGTGTGTCCTGGCAATTACTAAGAGTAAGAAAGTGTAAGAAAGAGACAAAGGGTCTAATCCTTGGCTATATGAGACCAAGCTGTAAGAACAAATGTATACTAAGTCAGAACTGGGAAGAAGTGACAGCAAATGTTGGCTCTGCAATGAAGCTGAAGAAACAGTGAACTATCTAGTTAGCTGCTGCAAAAAGTTTGCACAGATTGTCTACAAACAATGGCATGAGTAAGTAGCACCAATGGTGCATTGGAATAATTGCAAACAATTTCATTTGCCTGCAAGCAAAAACTGGTGGGACCACAAAATCCAGTCTAAATGTCTTGCTTGTTGTGATTGTTGTGACCAACCATAATAAAAATATTTGCTCTCCAACTCTCAACAACATTGGCCAATTTACAATTGTTACAGCATTTAAGAAAAACAAGAATAAACTCAGAGGGGAAAGAAAGGAAGAAAGGAGTATTAATTGCCCAATTTGTAAGAAGTGAAGTTGATTATACTTCCTAAACCTCCATGCATGCCTGCACTACTAGTAGTTCCACTGCTATGCCACTATGTCATCAGAGTCAATCATGATGCAATAGAGCTTCCTGCTTGAGCAAGGGCTTGGACCAGAAAACCTTCAAAGTCCCTTCTACTTAAAGTCTAAGTATATGTATAAGTGCTATTGCTCTAAAAGCCCCGTCTTAGCCTAATAATACACTAATGGGCAACTCTGATTCTATTTGTGTGAGAGAAAAGGGTTAGCACAGGAAATAATACAAACCTGTACCCTTCTGTGTTATTGTCCACATGTACAGAATAACCATCTGTTTTGCAGCATTATCCTATATACAACTGATCACCAACAAAACCAACAACCACAAATGGCTGTACTCTAAACATTTCAATAGCATTAACAAGTCTCTTCTGAACTCTTCCAAGAAAACCGCAGGGACTTATCCAAGAAGTCAGTCCTGGCTTAGGCTCAAACACACACACACACACACACACACACGACGAATTATGCAGGGCTGCAGAATTACCAACATCATCCTTACATTTCCTGAGTAGATTGTTATTTGTCTGAATAATGCCTGAAGAGTGTTTCTTTACATGAACATGTATGTGCAAGAGTACAACAGTAATCTGTGTGCAACTATATGAAGGAATCAAGCATATATCATTTATGTCCATGAGGTTGCATGCAATAATGAAAGTTTGTTTGGTGTGTTTTGCACACACATATACAGAGTATATAGTGTGTGTATACATACTGTAAAACACATGAATAGTATTAAGGCACATGAAACTAGCAGGTTTGACTCTATCCACTAATCCACTCAGCAATGTTCTCCAGCTCAGTTATTTCTATATGTTTAACCCCATTTTGTCAGTTCTTTGCAACCCAGCTCTGATGGAGAAAAAGTCATTCTAACAAGGTTAGTTACTAAGCCAAGCTAGTGAAGCTTTTGAAAAAAAATAAATGGTTGATGTGGGAAGAATGTCTTCTTAGATGAAAGTATTTCCTTATGAACTGTTCCCTTTTCCACAGCATGGAATTTTATTGTTTCATCAAATGTTTCATTATTATTTTCTTTAAAGTGCTGTCTCTGCCTGTTCCATTACTGAGCCCTATAATTTTCAGCTTGAAGACAAATCTCTCCTACTATTTTTACAGCTTTCTCTCTCTCTCTCTTTTGTTGCTGTTCTTGC